CATCATATGAATAAGAGGTTAGGGCCGATCACCGTGGGAAACGGGGTGGGGGGGGGGCACCTGGTAACCCCACCAAACCGGGCTTTCCTTGCACTTCCAGTGCCTATGCTGGTGACAGTTTTCTGAGAGGGATCCAATAGTCTCCAAGTCGGACTGTCTGTGGGCTAATTGGCCTTGTGACCTGAAACCTGGAGTTGTCTCGCTATGGAATTTTACCATGCCCCTCAGTGCAACTGTTTTTTGGGGGGGCGGGGGTTGGTGAACACACACACTTTGCTCCTGCTGCCCCGAGACCATTCCCATTGTTTTCAACGTGCCCCTGCTTGCACCGGATGGAGCATCTGCTTGCACTCAGGTCTTCGTAACATTAGCTCCTACGCCAGCCTATATCAGGGTTCCCATGTAACTTCCTGCATTAGTATAAGATACTTGTATACACTGATCTTTATTAACTTTTCTACATCCGAAAAACTAGACACTAAAACTGGTCAGACAAGTTAAATGCAGCCATGACTAAACCTGAGAGTGTGCTGCAGTTCCAGGTAACAGTGCAACGAAGCAAGATTTAGAAACAATAAATGAATATAAAATATCCCCTGCATGTTCACTCAGTGCAGCAGGTATCATTATGCAGAAAAGCCACATTAGGGATCTGTCGTCATCCTGTGCTAGATGTCTAACTGGGGATGGAATCCCATGATCCTCTAGCATCAAACATAATGGCCAGACTCAGGGCCTTGTCTGGGCAACAGAGTGGCTGCCTGCAACTCTCAGTAGAAGGAAAAGTGCTAGGAGAACTGGACCTCCATAAAATACTCTGCATGCACTACTGAAGGAGAAACAGCTGTACCCCCATCAAATCCCCCGTGAATGGAGAGGTGTGTGGCACAGTGGGCTATTTACACAGCCTCCTGGATTGCGTAGCCCAACTGTTGGGTGGAACGGCTCGGAAGCTCGATTTCACATCTGACTCATAAGCAGGCACAATGAAGCGAGCTTGGATCGGCTCGGCAAACCTCCCAGCTGGCCACCCCAAATATGTCACCCACGTTATTTTTTTAACCTTACCCAAGCGACTCAGTTGGCTGACCATCTGAATTGGTTTCCCATGGAACCGAATGTTCATCATCTGCAAGCCGCACTGGCGAATCCCAGTCAAATCTCAGGGAACAGACTGGCCTTCTGCACTCACTGGAGTAACGGGGCATGCCCATTTTTGTTATTGTAAACCCAGCGTTCTCTTCTGTTTTGATTATTTGGATTTCTAATGCGTTAATATTTCTTAATAACCGGACAATCAGTCCTGCCTTTAGAAAAGAGGCAGACAGGATTACTATTGACAGGCAGGCAGATAACTGCTATCAGTCTCTTCTCCGCACCTTGACTAGAGTTCAGAGGTAGGGCATGCAGAAGGCTTCGAGATACAGTAATGGAGAAAAATGCCTTTAATAATTAAATTTAGAATAAGATTAAAGTTATGACGGGCTATATGAATAATTCAAGCTGCATTTATTTTCCAGGAAGTCAACTGTAAAACATTCCTCCCAGAGCCTACCCCATCCTCCCCCCACCCCCCACACGTTCGGTACACTGTACATTTAATCCGCAGCAATATTGATGGATAGCATTATAAAATAAACTAATTAAATCTGAAAAGGAAAATGAATTGCAACCATATTTCATGCCCTCAATCATTACAGAACAGAGTCGAACAAGTTTTTCTCTTTGAAATATTAAGTGCATAAATCAGAACTCAAATTAAAAATTCTGTAGGAAGTAACAGTTTCAACAGATTGACAAAATCATTAGAATGAAATTTATAACCTGGGGTCTGGGAGCTTTATATGATCTGCTGGCATGTAATATCTGTAACATGCTCTTGTGTCTCTGCTCGATGGCGTGTAGGTGGAACTGATCCAATTTCTGTCGTTTGATTAAACGGTGGGGCTTTCCGCGACACGCGGGGGGTGTCCTTCCCGCTCACAATACAGCCTAATGGTGTATTGTGGGGCTCGCTCTCCAATCATTGAATTTCGGCATGGTGGCATTGTAGGTGGGGGTGATTGGGCTTGCATAAGAGTTATTTGGATGGCTCTATATTTTACAGCCAAATGTAGCATTTATATGAGGGGGGTGAAAGGCTGACTTCCGAGTTTCCGAGTCATGGTTCCGACAATCGGGAGCGGAAGCCTTGATCGAGGGTTTGCCACCTTTCTTGGTATTTAAAACTGGTTAATATAGCAGATAATATCGTTTTTACCGCTTGCTGGCAAAAACCAGTAACCAAAAGATGGTATACTCTCAATGTGCAACCTGTACAGAACAGAATAAACACCAGGCACATTAAATATTTTTCGTAATAGCTTTCGTTTCCTTTCAGGTTTATGAGACTGCTGGACCCACTTAAAAAAAAAGCAGAAGATGAAGCCAGAGAAAGCAGTCTTACAATAGTACATTCAATCTTCTGAGGGCCCACATCACTGATTTGAAATCATCCTCTGGTCAAATTAATTAAAATATGCCTAAAAGAATTAACTGTGATAGAATTAAGAGAGAATTAACAGTGATTAATAGAATTATCAGTGCAAAATGTACCTTCCCAAAAGAATTGCCGTTGCCTAGGGAGAGTTCAGAGGAAGGAGCGTACAGGAGACATGCCGACACGTCTCTTGATTACTCCCACAAGCGGATTACGGTGCGTTGTCGCCGGCGAGCACGTGCTGCTCCTGTCGAGGCAGCACCACGTTCCCTTAGATAGCGAGTGAGACAGATGTATAGCATGGCGGAGGGACTGCCTGCAGCTGACAGGAACAGCCAAGGCGGACAAAACAGCTAAAGAGACTCTGGGGATCTTTTGGTTGGCTGCTACCAGGTAAGACACACCCCCTGGGCATGGGGGGGGGGTGTCCTACTATGATGTATGAGACCATAGTGACCAAAATGGGTAGTATTAGGTGACATCGATTACAGCCAAACTTCCATCCCCGGGGCCGGACCTAAGCCAGATGTTCTTGGTTCACTTTGGTTGCTAAAATAGAAAGCTGTTGCAGGGACGCCTTGTCTCAGTAGGCCCTGGATCATTCTGGAAACAGCTGTCGAGTGCCTGCAGTAAGATGCTTCACAAACGGCGAGGTTCAGATGGAGCCCGCCGCTTGCACAGGCCTTGAGCACCGCAGACGACGACTACAAAGACTCCGCCCACATCTGTGCCATGCCTATTTCTTGTCTCTCATCTTTCCACCAGGCACACAGCCACATAGTAAAATAGCGGGTTTGAGCACCACTCCCCCTGAAATTTGTTTACTCTCAACCAGGCATGTAGACAGGAAATAAAATTACGGAGTCGATCCCCCCCTGAAATTTGCTCCTCTCCCCACCACTCCGCCTCCAACCACCAGTCTGCAGTATCTGCCAAAAACCCCAGGACCCCCAAATTTATTTCTGGTTACGAGCCTACTTTACACACATTGTTTTACGACCGGGAAACATCTTAAGTTTGCCTCTGACCAATTAATTTTGGGAAAATATGTCTAGAGTCCATCCATTCATTTTCCATAACCATGTACTCAGTGTGCAGTCATGGTCAGCCTGGAGCGAACTGCAGAAAGCAAAGGTCAAGAGGCAAGGGACACCTAAATGGATGCCTCACATATATCTAGTATATGTTTATAAAGAGCTCTTAGAAATATACTGTATGTTTATGTATGTGACTGTGAGTATATATTTTCCCAAGATGTTTGTATTGGGGGAAAGCTCGTGGTGGACAGGACAGCGCATGCTTTGACATTATCATTTATCATTATCTCAACTGCGAAGTTAATAAGGGCTGCTCGCCAGGTGCAGGGAAGGTACGGAGAGTCTATATTTCAAGCATTTTTTTAAGGAAAAAAACCTCGCGCTGCCCATGGTGTCTCCACCAGCTAAAAAGGGGCTTTAGCCGGAAAGGCGCCAATTAAAAACCAGCGAGAGAGCAGCAAACACAATTTGTCCGAATAATTGAGAACACATCTCTGGTTGACATTAATTAAGAATTCGTTTTTAAATCAAAATTTGAATTCTTAGGTTTGCTTTCGTAATAAAAAAAGTTATTTAAAAAATTACAAAAATGGCAGTAAGGATTACCCTCGGCTAATTAATCTAAAAGGAGAGCAAAATGTTTATCACTCGCTCGTTAAACCGCCTCTTGAAAATTAGATAAATTAATACATGCTTATCATTAAAACCTTCTGCAATACATCAAACGCGGCTTCCTATTTTACTGTTTTTTTCCAAAGCTTGTTAACATACAGAGTGAAGCTTTTTCATAAAGGTATCAACAGTTGCCACGCAATATTGGACATTGGAAATTGGTGACACTGACAGGACGACCCCCCCCCTCACCCTCGCCCAGAGCGGATTACACTAAATAAATACCTCGGCTTTCGGTGAATGCACGCCGTTGTTACACAGTACTGTCTGCGTTTTCGTTTGTTTACTCTAACGTTCCACAAGTGCATTTTAAACAGCAGTGTTTGTTGTTCCTGTTTTGCAGGCCTGCACATTATATTAGGAGCTTTCATTGGGACTATTTCACATGGCAGGGGGGGGCAGAGGTCTGACTTGCCATGAATCTGAATCGTATCCTTCATTTACCCCGCGTTTCTTAATTTAATCAGAGATATTATTTACGAAATAGACTCTGCATGGAAATAAAATCTATATTAGGAATACAGCTGAGCTCATAATGGCATAATCTGTTTTCCTCCCACCCCCCTGCCCCCAAGGTTTGCAGCTGACTCTGTGAGGCCACCCACGAGGTGTGTTAAATATTCTCTGGAATATCTATTCATATATAACCAATACATAATTGCATGGTTTATGACCTTTCCAAACAGCTTAAAGAGATTGTGTAAGTCCATCATTCAAACCTGCCAGTCAACTGATTATTCTCACAGCAACCGCCGGCGCGCGAACGCCAGGCTTCCCCTGTCGCGCGATTCCTCCGCGCGGCTCGTCCTCATTTGAATGTTACATTAACATTTTAATCAGCCGCGGAGTCTTCGAGGTACAATTCGACTCCTGCATTACATATAGACGTGTTCATTATAAACCGAATGGAAGCTGACGGATTATAGACTGGGAACTGTGTCACGTCGGGTCGACTCCAGTGGATTAAAGGACACGTCTCCACCAAACAGAAAAATGTTCGGCATTCTGACTCATCTGATCACGTTATCCTGGCAGGAATCGAGCGCGCTGCCTCGCATTGCTGGAAATGTATGGACGCTTTAAACAATAGCAAAGAAAACAGATGTCACTCGACATAAATAATACACAAAATGGACCCAACCAGACTCCTGGGTCTTCATTATCAGGTGCTAATTTTTTAGTCTATAGTAGCTATTTAGAGGCTGTTTTCTGAACACTGGAACGGTTGGTTAGAGTTTCAGGTACGGAAGGTCTCCAGATAGCAGATCAGTGTAGTTAGAGGTTGATTAGAACTGGCCGTTTGGGGCGGACGGCAGCGTCTTAAGAGGCAGTGCATTGATACAGTCACTTCAGGCTACATTAACTTTCACACAGGCTTCAAATTAAATTAAACAAAGAAGAGCTTTACCGTGTTGTTGTTGTGAGATATTACATTATATCTCCGATTACATGGTAGGCTAATGAGAATATATAAAGCAATTTTTAAAACGGAAACACTTTACTTGACGGGGCAAAAATACTTAGCAATAACTCGGTTACTAATAAAGTAAAAATGATGAGCAAATATATTGGCGATTTGAGATAAATCCGGGTCATCATTAATAATGAACAAAAATATGATCAATATTTAACTTGTGTTATTCATGATTTGTTCCTTCACTAGTTCACAAAGGTTTACAGAATTAGTATGGAACTAAGACTTAGTTTGTGGTTATACATAAGTAATAGTACAATACTATATTAAGTGTACCCAGTCAAGTAAAGTGTTACCAACTTAATTAAATTTTCATCACTATAACAATGGATCAGAACTTCATCCAGTTCAGTTCCAACCACTTACCCAATACAAGGTTGCATGGAGCCCTGGGACATAGCACAGGCCACAAGGCAGGGGTACGTCCCTGAAGGTATGTCCTCCCCATTGCAGGGTGTGTACATTCCACAATGGTAACTCATTCCATCCCACCTAACAGCACGTTCTTCAACTGCAGGTGAACACTCCCGCGGCACAAGAACACTGGGACCCCAAACCAGTGTCATTATAGTTTGGATTTTTTTAAATGTAGTTTTTATTTTTACATTATCAAATTTCATTTTAGTTAGTTCTCAGTCTGGCTTTATTAGTTGTAATTAGTTTTTTATTTTAAAGATAGATTTCTATTTAGTTTTCATATATGTTACTTTCAGTTGGAAGTTTTATTTCTAGGGATAGACTGGAAGTTGTAGAGCTGATTTATCATATTTTATCTTTAGAGAGTCTTACATGAATACACGGCACACATTATGTACTAATGTCCCCAAAATGGGCAAAACATGTTCCAAGTATTATTAAAAGCAATTAAAGATAAATAAACTTATTACTTTAGCTGTACAGTATTTAAAAATGGTAACTGAATGTATTTGATGTTTGTTTTTATTTTGTTAGTTTCAGAAACTATAGTTCAGTTGTGATTTGTTAAACTTTAATTTTACTTCAGTTTATGAAAATGTTTTCTTATTGTTTTCATTAATGGTACTAACCCTGCCCCACACACTCACAGTGAGGATTAGATTCAAACCTGCGACCCCAGCAGCATGCGGCAGTGAAAAGCAGGAGGCAGCCTCCCCAGGCAAGCATTTCCAGCGTGAGCCCAGTGAGCGTGGCTCTGGGGACGGACCGAGTCACTCCCGAGCAGCATTAGGAAAAGATTGAGCCAGGATACAGGGCACTAACGGAGACGACAAGCGGTAAGACGCCCCTGCTTCATATGCCACTTTGGCTCATCATGACCTTGACATACTTTTCAAGCAGTAAAATTCATTCGGTAAAGCAGAAAAACAGCCTGAAATCCAGCCCCCCCCTGCCCCAACTCCATCAAATAAGCGAGCAAAGTGAAGCCCCAGAGTCATTGTGATTCGCTGTTCGAGATCAGCCATCTGTGAGTGAGATCATGAAAGGCTGGCCTTCCCCGCTTTGTCCTCTCCACATTAATATCGCGGCTGTGCCGGCACCTTTTAGCAGTGTGTGACGTCGGGGCAGCCGATCCACAGCCGCAGTCCATTGCCATCACTGTTCCAGGCATCCCAAGGGAATTGGCAACGGGTGACTTCGCCATAAAACACAGATTTGGCAGGAAGGGAGCCGTGTGACAAGGGCACGGCGAAATCAACACCCAGGCATGAAGGAACTCGTCACCACGGAGGCTGGGGGAGGGGGCATGCCACAGTTCTCCTAGCTTGTGCCCGCCTTTCTCACAGGAAGCCATTTAACCAGGAGCACGGTGTGGTGACATTTACTCTGAGTGCGGTTCAAATCGTTAATTAACCCGATGACATGCGTGTGGTCCCAGCTCCTCGGGTAACATTTAACACGGCCCTGCCCACAAACAGGCAATGGCACCTCAGAGAACACGACGTCGGGGCACGGCGTGCATCTCGTGAGTCTGTATCGCCACGACCTATGCAAATACACACTGACACTCATCGCTTTCCCCCCGCCAGCATGTTCGTCACATGTCTCACATGATCCTTGGCGCCGTTTATGCGACGCAGTGCACTGCATTAATATCAAGCATGCCGGCCGAGGCCAGTGTTGAGCCAATTGCCCCCCATCTGCTGGCATGGAGGCGACGCTGGCACCCGGTAGGCCGCTGTCCGCCATGATGACTTTCCATTATATACAGTATGGTGGGTCAAACTGGCATGTTGGTGACCTATAATGGCTCACTGGAGCTGTGAAAAAGACTGACGTTTTAGGCCGGACAAGATGTTGATGAAATGGCGTAGTAATGTGCTAAACAGTGCTGGGAAAGGGATCTTCATGAGCCAAAGCCTGTTAGTCATCAGCGAAGTGAGGCACACAACACATATATCCCCAAGGTTCCAGAAAGTTCCAGAAAGTTAAGCATTAGCTCCTTCAACACGGACACCATATGGTAAGCCGGTGCAAATGAATGCATAGTAATTTAATGTGATAATGACTGAGAGCAGCTTTGTGCTGGGATACCTCCGCTGGCTGATATCAAGTTACAGATTTCATCATGCTCCCCTTTCAGGGCTTTTACTCATGCAGGTAATGCGGGGAGTGACATACCTGGCCAGTAACGCAGCACTCGGAATAATGCGAGAAGGGGAGGGCGCAGCCCTGCTGCCTCGGAGATACCCACGCGGAAACACAGCGGCGCATGCGGGAAGAGACACTGGGAGCATTTTGAGATACTGATTGGCCTTTCAAAGGCCCCAGGGGAACGTAATGAGCTGGAGCCTGCTGTAATTGCGAAAAATATTGTGCCTGTAAACTAAACATGAGTCTACAGGGTTTTCCAGGGGGCTGCCGGGGCCATAATTACTGCATACGCCGGATAGTTCTAAACCTGCACTGGCAAGCATCTCTCCAAATGCCCAGTTGTCCTCTAGAGTGCCATCACACTGCCAAGGTTTCTAGTGTGTGTGGGTTTTGTTTGCTGTCTGTGTGCTACTCGAACAGCAATTAGCATGTTTGCAATCAACAAGATGTCGATTCAATACCTGAACCTCCCCACCCTGGGCATGGTTTTGGGTCTTCACGCCGACTGGCAAGATGACGAGTCAGCCCTTGAACGTTCAAAAGCAGTAAAATGTTGACATGGTAATGGTTCCTCTGTCTGTTACCGCAGTATCACCAGCCACATTGGCGAATGCAAACGATGAGCTGGTAGGCAGAAAATGGGATGATGGATGGCAGAGTTTGATCCCTGATTCACACTTAAATATTAGCTTTCTCTGTACCATCAGTGCCACCTCAGAAACTGTAACTGGAGACAGTGACAAACAACACCGGTGAAATGGCACATTTTATATATTTTTTTATTATTATTACTCATAGTTGCTCAGACACGTGTATATACAAATACAGACCTTAAGAGTTTTTTTCTGACTTTTTTTATTCTTGTTTATATACTGGAAAAGCAGGTCAATACTGCACTAGTAAGTGCAAAAAAAAATCAAAAGAAAACAACAAAAAAAAAAGAAAACTGCGATAAGCACAAGCACAGGGTCACATAGAGCCAGTATGCACGCACAGTGAGTAACTTTCAATACAGGGTGTCAGGAGGGAGAGAACACAGACAGAGACTCATGAGCAACCTCCGACACGCCAGCATCTATTAAACTGTTCGGACAATGGCAGCGAGTCTATTGTACAGAGATTTGTTTCGCGTGAGAGAGGCTTGAGGACCAAGGCATGGGAAAACCTCGTCGCTGCCAAGGGAGACCATGGCACACTGTTTTCTGCCGCCGTGGAAATGAAGCGCACACACACACATACACACACATACTCGCAAGTGCGCAGACACAGGCGCTAACAGATTCCGACAAATGGCAAATTTCTTTCCACCGGGGTAACATACATGAGATTGTTTTTGAGTAATGCAGATTTTAGTTTCTTTTTTTTTAAAATTTGATATTTAAATATGGCAGCACACACAAAGAAAGTTGAAAAAAATGACAGCTGTGGGGACAGGGAATAAAACATTCAGCAAAAAAAAAAAAAAGATATACAAACTTGTTTTTCCTCAATCAAGTCCATGTGCATGCCACACGAGGAACTGGCAAGATCCTTCAGGAACGTTCCTTGCGAGGAGGTGCACCATCAGCCGGCGTGCGAGGAACATAAGGCCCCGGCATCAGACCCATTAACGCGTAAGACAAAAAACACAGATTGTTAAAAAGTCTGCTTCTTCTCTGTGAATCCTTGGAAACAAAAATGGTGATAACAGCGGGATATTAATAATTTTTTTTTTCTTAAAAAAAGTTTGAGTAGGTACACTCCACGGTTCTCTGCCTACATAGAAGGCCTACACTGCAATTCAAATATGGTCACAGGTTCAAGACCCCCAATGCTCGTGGTACATATTTGTACACTTCAGATTATCCAGAGTCTACCTTGTTCATTTCTTATAAAAGACATAAGAATCAAATTAATACTTTAATATCAAACAGTATTTACAACAAGAGGTTTTTTTCTAATAATACAGAGTTTTAACAATGAAGTGTCGCAATTTTGTCTTCTTTTGTCCTCAAGAAAGGTACAAAAAAAAAGTACTAATCTAACACTACATGTTATATTATTGACTACTCCAGGATACACGGTATCCATTCAACAAATTGATCCTTATTTCCCTGTGTATAGTTTGTACAAATCAGGACAGTAATAGTACTACTTCTACTCATACCATAAAAAACTACAACAACAATACAAGTCGTGAGAAGTGTACCGCTGATCAGACGGCAGGTCGCTAAGCCGCCGCCCTCTTTTTACACCCGAGCCACTCATATCCTGACTGCGCTCAAGCGGAGAGTTCTGTGCGGCTCCATGTGCTAATGTCCACAGGCTGAGCCGCTATGTAGTTGCGATAGCATTGTTGCTGTAAAAAAAAAAAGGAAGAAGAAAAAAAAACATGACAGGAAAAGTCTTTTCTTAGAGGCACAGTACTTTGGGAAGGTCCTAGCAGAATTTGCGCCGGTGGCTGATGTGGCGGGAAAGCGGTGCCAGGAGAGGCATATCGCTACAGCCAGGAGCCAAATGTTGAGTGGGAGGGGCAATGTGAGAGGGGTTTATAACTGTTATCTGATACCCTCACCGTAACCCTAACCCTTGTTATAAACCCCTCCCACCCCTCGTGTAAACCCTACCCACTCAACATTGCCCCTCCCACTCGACACTCGTCTCCCGGCTGCAGCGATATATACTTGGGTGCCAGGGCTACGACTGGGGTTAATCGAATGTGTACCCTGTTTTGGAGTGTGCGAAGAAGCTGTTCTACGTTAACATCCCTACATACCCACATGCACGTACACACACATACATGAAATAGCCAGCATTCCCTAAGTACGAGGTCATTGCAGTTTTAAAACTGCAGAACGAAACCTACACCCCCCCCCCCCCCCCCATTCCCTGCTCTCTCCACCAACAATCTATTTTTAATTCCAGGGATAACTCCCTTGCCACAACACGGGGCATGCATGCCTGTCATTTTGGACCTCATTAGAGAGTCACTTAAGCCATAGCTATTGCAGGAGTAGCTGTAACTGGGTTCCCTGAACCTCAGATCCAGGCCCGTTCTCTTGCTGAAACCTGCAATGACAGATTGCTTTCACGTGGGCACCCCCCCACACCCCACCCCCAAGAGAAAGCAAACGGCACATTCTCTCAAGATATTCCAAGCTGTGTGGATTTACGTGCTTTTCTGTCATGGGAATGAGTCATTTTATCACGTAACCGCTGAAACGAGTGCAAAGCAGGTCAGAATGAGAAACGTGAACAAATGCACTCTGCTGATGGGGGAAAAAAAGGATTTTGCTAACGAAAATTAGATATTTATTTTGATGTGTCCAATCAAATTACGTGGCACTGAAGTCCCTGAATGAGAGCATGTGTGTGTGTTCATGACTGGCTGACGGGGGGCAAAGCGTAACAGGACTCCGCTGTACGAGGAACTGAAAGTCAGAGATAAAAGGCAGCTTGTGTTGTTCTAGGGTTGTATTAAAAATAATAATAATGAAACAAAAAACAAACAAAACTGCTTTTCCAGACAAATTCTGAAGTTTAGGTTTAAACAGACCTACATGAAGTAAGAAAATATTATGGTCGAAAGCTGACCGCTTTTACAGAAAACAACCCTGCACAAGCATTTAAGGTTGGGCGGGTTTATCAGCATAAAGGTTCATAGAAGGTTAACAAAAAACACACACACACACAGATCGTGGTGGAAAAAGCCTCCCTGTCACTGACTTCATGATAAAAACAGCAACGACAAGACGAGCACATGACCTGCGGGCCAGCTCTGTGCCTTCGGCTACAGCGGGGCCTTACCGCTCTGACAAACTAGCAGATGGCGGAAGACCAAGGCCGGACCAGGGAAAGGAAAACAAAACGAGCTCATTAAAATGTTACTTTCCCAAATAAAAAAAGCGTACTCTGCGTCCGCAGGATGCCAGCTGCAAGAGGACAATGGTAGGACACAAGCTCGGCCCCGGGTCTGACCTGCGTTTCCGTCTACATCAACGAAATACTACGTTTATTGGTTAAAAAAATGGACATGCAAAACATATATGTATATAAGTATGCATCTTTTAGAGTGCTGTCCTAAATAGCCAGACTGTTACCATGTTACAACCAGGCAGATCAGAATTTCAAAATGTATCTGACAAGAGGCTTAAATTATTCACTTTTAATTGTGATAAATGAGAGAAACAAGTGGGTAAAGCAGGACAAATGAAATTAAATAGGAAAATATTTTGTTAATCATTACTATGTTTGACAAAATATTATTCATTTATGTTTATTCTTTTTTTGGATTATTGAGGTTCACTCAATAGAGGAATTATGTAAAAATTCCAATAAAAAATCTCAACTGCTCCACCTGACCGACTTGTCTTCAAAATCCAAAAATACCCATCTCTTATTTTAACTACTGTCCGCAAAGGATTCTCCAAGGACACCCCGTCTGCACAGTTCGCTCCCAACAAGCCGCATGCATGCCGCATGTTTCCATGCAGGCTCCGCCTCATTCTCATCCCCATTCGCGCGTGGCATCTTGCCATCTCGGTACCGGGTTAATGCTGCTCTCGAGGCTGTCAGTGGGTACCAGTGGGGAGGTGATGCCAGACGTGTTGCCAAAGAGGGCGGGGCTGGGGGTGTGTGGCTTCCAGAGTGTGTCTGACGAATCACCCCCCCCTCCCCACTGCTAATGGTCGCCCTAATTATGAACCATGGGAAGAGTTGGGCTGCTTGGTCATGCATGTGTAGTTGTGTCCGTGAGTGTGCGTGTGTCTGTGTCCGTGTGTGTGTGTGTGTGTGTGCATGTATACAGTGCAGATGAGAGTCAGGGGAGGCCTAAGTCACAGGAAAATAAGAATCACTAAGCGTCAAAAGCAGATTTGGCATCTTAGTTAAGGTCTGGGGATACTTCATCGCTCTCTTGGATATCAACTCTATCACGGACTGAGAAAGACCACTTAAATATCTGGGGAAAAAGAGTATTCCTTGAGAAGATTACCCCCCACCCCACACCCCCCCCCCCCCCCCCCCCCCCCCCCCCCCCCCCCCATCCCAATTTCCATCCCCACCCATTAGGTGGTATCTGCAGACTGCCCCCCCTCTCTGAGGCGCTATAACACCCAAAGCACAGCCGCGTAGCAGGTGGCAGTGGCCAGCAGTGGGATGGCTATCCGGAGCTGGCCCGCTCTGTTGGCGTCACTCCGGGACGGCTCGGCGGACTCGTGACTCGTGTCATCTGGGGGGTGGGAGAGAAAGACGGAAACAGAGTCTAAGTAAAAAACATCATAAAAATATGACAGGAGAGCAAGGGCACAGGATAGCTTTGAGTTACCGACACACACAGACAAGATGAAGCCTATGCTACTGTTAGCAAACAGCCACGCCTCCTCCTGTGCCACGCGTGCTCTGGACGCCAGTCGCTAATGGTCTCCCCTCCATCTCAAGATATTTCTTACGTCAGAGCCGCCCGGCGCTAATGCTAACCCGCTCGTTAGTGAGCGGCTAGCGAGCCCCGTTCTGCCCTCATCCGGTGCCCCTGTGGGCCAATTCTGAGCAGGCCTCAAGGGCTTGGTCATTAAGCAGAGTGCTGGGGGGGTGCAGGGGTGGGGGTGTTGATTTTCAGGCCGCGTGAAGAATCCGCGTGCATGCCATGCACCACGGTAAGCGGCTTCAGGAAGACTGACAGGCACAAGAAGGTGGATAAATCTGCTCCGAAAGTGGAAACGACTGGCTACTTTGGCAGGGAAGTGCAGGCAGGCATGCAACAGGCGCACCGGAGATGCACTGGGCCCTGGAGTCACGCACAAGGTCTCCTTGCCAGGGCGGCCAGATACTGAGAGGGGTGCACCACGAGCCATATCAAGTGCATCACTGGCACTCCACAAGGCTTATCATTGAAATTAAATATTGGACAGTTTTCTCATAAATATTGAAATTTGAGCATGAGAAATATGAATTTGGAAGGATA